AAGTATTGTATTCACAAAAGGCTACTGATAGTAGGAATTTTCAATTTCTGTAATTCTGTTTTAATTTCACAGTTCAATACAGTTATAATCTTGAAAAACTATAGTTTTCCTATATTCATGATCAGGGCAATTATAAAAAGCAGTTAATTCAATATGTACTTCGCTCAAGAGTTTGAGCTCTGAGCAACAGTGGTTCAAGTCCAGCCCGAGCTGAGCAGCTGCTAAGCTGCCAACAGGTAGCAGCATGGCTCAGCTAAAAAATAAAAATAAAAAATTCCAATATGTACTTCCTGTGATGTTTCCAAAAAGAAAACACAAAAGCAGCACTTAGATAAAATTCTTGTTAAATTTTCCTAAACCATTGTGAATGTAAAATTTTTAAGTTAAATTTATTTTTTGATATTTTGGTAAATTTTCAGAAAATATTAATGAAACATTTGCCAGTAAATTTGAAGATATAAAGACATATTTTATTAAATTTGAGCTGTTTTCCTACAAATATGTTGTTTTGTTCTCGTAGAAAAACACATAAGACTTGATCTTGAAGAAATAATACATGCAAAGATTTAGCTAAAAGGATGTTAATCATTGCACATCATTAATATTGGTATAACCATAAAATAGAATACCATGCAGCCATTAAAAATGACGTAGACATTGATTTATCTTAAACGAAGTCTGTATGGTGATAAAGTGGTTTGTTTTGAGAGACTACAATGATAAAACAATATATAATATTTCTTAATTTTCTATGTTCTGCCAGGAACAGCACAATACTGATTGCATGATATGTGGGTACATGGTATGTGTTTTCTATTATAATTAACCTCTTGTGGGTAGACTTTTAGAGTTTCATATAATGCATTTTATTTAATATGTCTAACTTTCTTAAATGACTTTTGGTAAATTACCTCACAACTTATATTGGAATGAAGGAATACAAAATAATAAATAGAATGAATTAGTGTTGGGTATGACCTTTGAGGCCTCCTAGTGATCAAACATGGCAGTGTTGAAAAACACTGTCTACTCAAATCACCATTTACTAAAACCTGCTGAGTTATGGGAGATAAAATGAAGAATAAGACTGTCATCACATTTAAGAACCTCTGGTTTATAGAGCACTTTGCAGTTCAAAAAATAATTACATTAACATCCCATCTTCTGAACAATTCCATGATACAGTATTATTATCTTCATTAGAATAGAAGTACCATAAGACTGGAATTGCATCTGTTTCAAACCTGACATAAAAATACCTACTAGGATTGACTAATTGAATTTTATTTAAAGGATAAGTTTATTTTTACCTATTTATACTTTTCCACAAACTTGATCTGCTTTTCATGTTAATGTGATAAAGAGAATAGGACCTGGGCGTCATCATTTTAAAAATCCACGGAAATATTCATCCTGCTTTTTCTTTATTTCTTCTGAGAAAAATCTTGATTTAATTGTTTTTTTAATTACCCTTTATTTTAAATATTCTCAGCTTAATAGATTTAGAGATCAGTGTATTCTTATGTTTTTAGTTTAACATTTGTAACGCACTTACCTATGTTCAAAGTGTTGTTCTTGGAATAATGAATTGTTACATTCGGTCCTCAGGACTGTGCTCTGTGAGTTTGCTGGATAAGAGATGAGGAAAAGAAGTTAAATCTAGCACAAAATACTTATATTGACAATTAAAATTGATTTTCTGACAGTGCAATGGAAATAGATAACAGTGAAAGATACTAATGTAGATGGCCCTAGAATCTCCATTTTAAAAAGCATTTAAAAATAAATGATTGTCTTCTGAGTGAGCAGGTTTCATAAGCTCCTTCTAAAAGGAATAAATAAATTTATCTCACGCAGTCCTGAAAATGTGATACAAAATTGTGTCATGTAGATCCCTCCAATAATCCATGTTAGGTGCTTGGGAACCCAAAAAACAGCTGTGGAAGACTAGGCCAAACCGTGGTATATATTGGAAGAGTGGAATGTGACATTTAATTTTTAGTCCTAAACACTGAGGTAAAATGAAGGTAAGTGCCTTTAAACAGCAATTTGCGATAGTTTCTCCTTTATCTTGAACATCAGCAAAAGCAATGTTTGAAGTTCATGAAGTCCCAGGTCTTCTTACAGGTTAAAAAAAAAAAGTCAAGACTTCGAGAACTCCAGCCTTTGAGATCAGTGGAGCTCAAGGGGCAAGTAAAGAAGGGACAAGAGTGGGGAGCCCTCAGAGGCACTATTCTGACTTGGCCCTCTCCTTCCCCCATCCCTTCACCTGGCTCACAGGTGTCCTTCCTGTCACAGCTTAAACATCACCCACACTTTCCAGACCCTCCAAGCCTGGGTTGGATGCCTCCAGTGTATTTGCTTCCCAGTTTACACTTTTCCTGTCATTGCGTTGCACCTAAGACTTTCCCATTTACTTACCTACATCCCTCACCACACCTAGGATGAGAACTCCATGTCTCACTTGTTCACAGTTGCATCTCCTGCATTTAATGCCTAAATATGGAAGGAGGAAAGGAAATAGCCTTTAACTGATGGAAACAAACATCTGTATATATAAAGTGAACGTCTACTTTAATATTGTTGATCCACCTACTGTGAAAAGACCTTTCCTGAGAAAAGACGGTGTTTGAAGAAGCCTGCAAACGACCTTGTTTTCGGAGAGGAATGGAGGAGAGGAGAGAGCAGAGGGCAGCAATTATGGCCTTCAAGGTACGGATTTCTTTTGTTGCATTAACACGACAGAGAATGCTGTAGTTTTACAGAAGAAAAGTGTTAGAAACTTTCAATTGGCTATGGAGGTTTTTTTTATAATTATTTTCAGGGTTGTGAGAGCAAACTCAGAGCATAACATACAGACTTAGACGAGCTTGGGTCCTGCTGCTATCTAATTCCTCACTTTGAATAGATGAGGAAACGCAGGCCAGGGAGTTTGCCGATAGAGCCTGTTAGCTGCAGAGTGAAAACCAACCTCTGAGCAGCAGAGTCAAGTCAAGATGGCAGCGGTAGTTGCCAGGGGTCATGTGAATCGCCCCAGTTGCTGGCCTCTCCAACGGGTCCTAAAGGCACTGGGCCCATCCCAGCAGATTCCTTGTATTGCCTGCATTTGTGATTGGTTCTAAAGCGACCTATTCGACCACAATGCAGTGAAACACCAATCCATTCATTTGCTCACCTAGCAGTTTTTCTGGGTACCTGCTCTGTGCCAGCCACTATGCTATGTGCTAGGGATATAGTGATATGACTGGTCGTGCTCTCCAGGAGGCACAATCTTCATTCAAGTGGTTTAAAAAAAAAAAGTGTGGTGTTCTCTTTGACTGTAGCCCATTCATTTCTCTGTGATTGATTTTACCCATGGGATAAACTACCTTAATGAGAGTGGCTTGTCTTTTCTCATATTGCTTCGGATCAGGAGCTCATAAAAGAAAAGAAAAAAGCGGGATTTGTTTCTGAGCCTCGAGAACAAGAGTCATTTACCACCAATTGTTACTCAGAAAATAGCGCAGTAAGAATCAAGTCCTAAGCAAGGGAATGGAAACAGAACGGCATCAGAAAGGCATCCAAACTTTCTCTGGGTAAGCCATTGCTTTAAAAATCAAGACATGCATGCCTCTAATAAAGGATGCTTTCCTAACTCTATAGAATAGTTGGTCTCCCTCCAGCCGTCTCAGTTTTGTCAGAGGAGCACAGCTTCGAGCAAATGCTCCCTGTGGTTTGACATCTCAGTGCCTTGTCCCGCTGCCCTAGCAGATGACAGGAAATTTGTCCTGTAAAATGCATTGCTGTGAATCACACACCTTGTGGGCCTTTGAAGCATATCCCTGGCTGGCCTGTAGCCCCAAGAGACCCATAGGCATCCTGGGAAGACCTGGTGTGTTAGGTCAGCTCTTTTGGTTGCAAGAGGCAGAGTGACTTCAGCTTTCTCTAATAATGGGTTGTTTTGTGGATACACAGAACCAAAAGGACAAGAGGAAACTGGCAGCAACCCAGAAATACCTTTACAGTGAGTCTCACAAAGATTGGAACTAGAGAGTCATTCAGAAACTCTAGAAGCTCTAGAGACAGCTAACCTCATCTCGCTTCAGCAGCCTGAGTTCCCACCTCTTCACTCTGGTGCTCGTCCATGAACCTACTCTAGCCAGCCTCCAAGCTTCTGCTGCTCTCTGTGTGTTTTCTTGCATCTCCCTATACCCTGCCCCTCGCCCCCAAAACTACCTAATGCTGTTTGCCAGTTCGGTCTCAAGAGAGAATTTGATTGACTTCGTTAATTACCATTATTCTTTTTTAGGCAGAGGGTTTTTT